CACGAATGAGAAAAAAGCAAATTTTCGACCTATTTTAACAACCTGATAACACAAGAATACTTTTACATACTCCTTCTACTCTGGAATGCAACAAAACAATCAATAAATCGAGCCCAAGATGTTTTACTTCCTTTAATATTTGCTCCAGTGAACAGAGTTTCTTGGTTTCTTGTTCTTTACCAAAAGTTATGGAAATTTTAAAAGAAAAAATACAACTGAATGTATGTGTACACACACATATATATATATATATATATATATATTCCAACTGCTCTGCATATTTGAAAAATTTTTCTTGCCATAATTTTTGTCATTTATTTCTTTATACTTTTTTTTGAATTTTATATATCTCTTGTGTTTAACAATTTCATTTCGAACGCATGTTCGTACTTGCAGTTGACAGTTGAAATTAGTGTTATTTGTTATTATAGTTTTTGGTGCGGAGTACATTTATTATGAAAATGGTATAAGTCACTTATGGTAATATTTAACGAAATTTAATCTTGTCTTGCCGGCAAAATAACACAGTTCCAGTACCCTTTAATGTCCACTGTCCACAAAATTATAATTACAAATTATTTTTTTAAAATGTGGTTATGTTAATCGATCTTTTGGGGCGAATTTTCACTAAAATGCTCTTCGTAGCGTCTACAGTAATATCATAAGCAATAACCAATTTTTCCCAATGTGGTGAAAGTTTGATTGCACGGGTTCTCGTAATGGATCGGTAACCGTTTAAATGAATGTTTGCGGATTTTAGTTACCCAGATGTACATAAGGAAAACAGGCAGACAGACATTAGCGAAATTATGTTGACCAAATATATATATGCCTTACGGAGTTTCTGATTACTCTTGTTGCCCTCATCGGGCTCCTTTTCTGTTGTGATGCCTCAAAGAGTTACTGCAATGTATACTTTCCCTGAGATAAATATCTCGTCCCTATACTCACTAAAAACAAGTGAAAACACTACAATGGGATGTGGGCTACAGACGTTGTATGCGGTGGTCGAAAATTAGTCCCGATCTGAGCCAATGGTGTTCGTCTTTGGACCTAAACGTGTCGGTGCACCAAACTTTATCAAAATATCGCAAAAATTGCTACCTGTAGGTTAAACACAAGAAAACAAGACAGACCGACAGGCGGACTGATGGACGGACGGAAACTTAGAAAGTAATTCTGGCTCTATTTGATATAGATATCCTTACAATCCAAGGTTTTCTTATCTCAAGTCATTCTGGGAGTTATATACATCCGCATAACCTTGATGTACCCTTGCATCCCAAGTGATGTAAGGTATAAATGTTAATTATTTAGTGAAATTTTTTACATGATTCTTCTCAACATATGCCCGTACGTAGGTGAAAATATCGTAATTCACCTTTTTTTTATATTATCAATTAGCATAACAAACGCAGGCAATTTTTCGCAGAAGCTTGCTTTATTATTATATATCTCAATATGCAAAAATAAATTGAGTTATGCCATTTTGATAATGAGCGACGCATTTATGAAGAATTACTATTGAAATTTCAAGAGAATTTAAAAAACAAACGTCAGCAGATTTAACGGAGGAATAAAAAAATGTATCTGCACAATATTTTAATTTAATCAATGCGTATGAGTTACGTCTGCACATCACATATAATAAAGTCGACATTTTTTCTTAGTTATTATTCGTTCGCCGTGATTTGTTGATTATTTAACACTTGAGAGTTATGCGATTAATAAAACACAATCGCTAACTATTCATTTTTAATAGTCCAACAGGTCAAGGCTATAAACACGTAAATAACAATAATAACACGCACATGGTTTAACAGTTGCACACTACTGCGAAGACTGCGAGACCGGGAGATTGAGAAAGCATTAATAATTTATAACATAACAACTTTTCCCTGTTTATCAATTAAAAGCTAGAGAGTAATAATTACCATAATTATAACCAAGTGGGAGACGTGTGTTTGTACTCGTAGCAGTAGTGCAAATTCACTACACTACTGCTTTAGCGAGGGCATCCTTGCAAGTACATGTAATTATAAACGTACAAGTGGTTTGACTTAGATTAATTTTTTTTTTTTGCACGATTTCTAAGTATATTTTAAAGTTTATTTCAAGTAAAATTGTAGACTTCAGCGAAAACTTCAGACTTTTGAGGAAGTAGTGACAGAATTTTTCATTTTCTTTTCTCTTTTTGTTTTTTTGTAGAAATGTTTAAAACTATTTCGTCTGTTTCGTTAGTTATAGCGCAATTTATTACATTCACCGCAGGAGTACATGCAAATGTTCACTCCTAGAAACTACATATATAAAATTATGCCTTGATGTTGTCAGGAGAATTGTCAACAGTACTTTCCTTTTAGTTTCGTAAATATAATCAGGGAACGGTTGCGATTCGTGTTACACTGTAAATGTTAGAGAGTAGAGAGGAAACAAAAAGAAAAATACAGATGCCGAACGCAGCGTTGTGTGTGTGCGTCATCGATAAGTGCTATCCATGCCTTTATCGACTGAGAAAGAAGAAAACTCTGCCGCACTTGAGAGTTGAGCCACTTGGTAGTCGCGGTTCTTAATTGCGCGGCTATTTTGGCGGGTTATATGAGAGTGGATTCAAAATAATTGCCCACCTCAAACAAATTTTTTTAAAATAATTTAGAGTGTCCAAATACTATTACAAAGCGAGTTTTGTCGAGAAATTTCGAAAATTGCAATTTTCTTCATCTAACGGCATTTCGAAATAGGGCATTATATGGAAAGTGGGCCGATCATTATACCAAAGTTCATCAAAATATATCAAAAATTGTGACCAGGCTGACGGACAGAGTGACAGACCTGCTTAAATCGATTCAGAAAATCGGAATAGGAGGGTCTATCTTAAATCCTTACGCGTGTTACATACGCCAGCACAACCTAACATAACATGTACTGAAAGTAGCGTAGGGTGTAAAAAGGGGAGAGGAAAAACTATTTTACCGCTATTTGAAGTTTAAGAACTTAAAAAAGAAATGTTAAGACCATTCTCATGGAAGCATTACTTCGATATACTTTCTTTTTGCCTCGCTTTTAATAGAAAGAGAGAGATAGATAGAAAAGTGAAATTGCTTCTTTGCCAACCCGGCAATACTCAAGCTAAATAGTGCGCTATTTACTTTAAAGTTAAATTTTCAAAAACTTTAAAAATGTTTTTCGAGAATAATATGTGTTGTATATAGCGAGTTGACATGAACGAACGTTCTTTCTGTCTCTCTCCACCATCTGCGTATCGGAAACACCAATGCAATGGTTGAAAAACACGCAAAGAAAGAAATACCGAATGATTTTTTTTGACCAACCATAGAGTAACAATAAAATTCATATTTTCTTAATGGATTGTATATATATAAATTGAAATTTTTCTTAATTTCTAAAATAAAGAAAAACGTTCTGTTGTTAAATAATTTGTTAATAGAAAAATGATGACAGCAAACGCTTACCTAACCGAGAAAATAATCGTATGCCGTAAGAGGGAAAGCATGCAATAAATGTTGCTATTTATCAATTTAGAACATTATAACTTAATGGTTATAATCGTTATTGCTTTTTTCTGTTTTCCTTTCTCCTGTTTTTTTTTTTTTTTTTTGCATTCTTGCTCTAAATTGTTTTCATTTCCTGACGCATATAAAAATTAACAGCGAGAAAGGAATCATCGGGAAAGCAATCAATGTAGTGCACGAAAGCTAGCTTAACATACAGTTATTTGCTAAAAGCATCATAATAAACATGCTATGTTTTAACTTTGGCATGACCTTAGCTATTTTGCATGCATTCGAAAATAAAAATTATTTACTGCCTTTTAGTTTTCACAAAATGCATATAAAAGTTATTAAAAACCAGTACTTGTTTTAAATGCAAACGTTTTGCATAATTTTTTATGCAAATTAAAAAAAAACACACACACAGACACACCCACACACACACACACACACACACACACACCCATACACGCACATCTATAAATATATATCATATCCGATATAAATCGTATCATCATCCAGCCCTCACCTCACATAATAATAATTCATTTATATTCTATTTTCATGTGCGAATGTTTGTATGTGCGCGTATGTATTTGTGCTTTTGTTTGCATGCAAGTTTGCACCATTATGTTTGCATGAAGTTCTAATTTCAGACAATTCAATTTGAATAGCAAGGCGCGTCTGTTGTTTATATGTTTGCACGTGAGTATATTTGTTTGTGTATGTGTCAATAATCGCCATAAACACAAGACAGAAGTGTTATTGTTATTGTTTTTAAGACTTCTCATGCAAGAGTAAATTAAAAAGTTACAACACACCCTCAATGATATATGAATTTATATATGTAAATGATTGTGTTCATGTGTGTGAATGAATGAGGCGCCCACCGCAACTTCTGCCTTCTGTGCAAACTACTACCGAATGAATGCATTATGAAGAGGAAATTCAGATATTATATATTATAATATGCATTCGTTGTCTACATTATACATCACATATATCCGCGTTTTTATGCCGATATATATATACACACACATACATATGAGAATCTATAAGTTTGCGAGCAGTACTTTCCACGTATTATATAATCGAATGTAAAATCAAAATTTATATTACAAAACCAACGCCATGTTATTATTCATGTTCTATATGTTTGTGTGTGTGTATATAAATGTACGTACATATGTATATACATATATATACATGTATGCATATGTATACATTTATATAAATTCCTGCATGCATAATGTAATACATCGGTGTGTATTTATACAAGCATTATATAGTTAACTGCGTGTGTGCTCGCTCTATGCACGGAAGATGATGTCTGAAAATATAAGAAGGAGAGTTTGCAATGGTTTTTGAATGTGTGTATGGAAGTGGATGTGTATTGGTTGTGTGTGCATACTTGTGCATTTACAATAGTTATAGCTGATTTAATGTATTGCATATAATGAGCGTGCATTGTGTCTGTACCGATTCTAGGACACTGTGGTCACACAAGTCCCTGCGAACAACTGTGTTATGAGATTCATGATGGCATGTACGAGTGCGATTGCATCGAAGGTTATGAACTCAATAAAAACGGTTATAGCTGTCAAGGTATGTACTTCGATATGATTGGTATGTGAGTGAGTTCTTCCATGAATGACACGTTAATATTTACATGCGTTCATGCATGCATGCATGCATAGTTATACTGGGAAAAAAAGGAAAAGAATTAAATTTCCATACATTTTTATAAACCTTTTTTTCTTTTGTTTTCTTCCTCCTTTTATGTGATGAATACTAACAATAGTAATAAATTCTACCAGTAACAATGACGGTCACAGTAAATCCGACGAGGACGTTCTTTATCAGAAGGGAGCGTCGTTTAGCGCCAAATTGGCGAATGATAATAGTGGCAGCAATCATCTAAGCCCAAGCTATGCATCTTCATCGGCTCTAACGTCATCGTCTTCGTCCGATGAATCGGATGAGGATGATTCCATTTATATAAGTGATGATATCAGCGAACAGCAACAACAACAAGAACAAGAACAGCAGCAACAAAAAGTCAATTCCAACGATTATTACATATCAAATGAAAATATTATTAATAACAACAACTATAACTATAATAATTTCAATGAAAATCTTAACAATAATAATAATAATAATGATAATGACAACAACGGCAACCAAAATAATTACGACAATGATAAACATTATCAAAATGCACGTCAAGCATACAGAATAAATTTAAGCACCGAGAAGCCATTAAATTTGATAATATTTCGCAATAAAGAAAATAGAAATAATTTATCATCACCACCAACATCAATTACGTTAACAGGAACACCAAAAACAGCAGCCGCTATCGGTAATGGCATCATCCCTACCGTTATGAGTGTACCAGAATCAATGTTAAATATAAACATCGATGATCTGAATGATTATTACACGAAACAAGATATGTCTGTTTATGATGACGTCAATAACAATCAATTAAATTTAAGGCCCTTAAATCGTTTAACATATCAACAACAAAAACAGCAAGAACAACAGCATCCGATAACATTCAACAATCAAGAACACAAACAGTTTATAGCAACAAGTGCCGTTAATAGCGGTCAACGCGCCAATAGATTGGCAACTGCCGACATTATTAGTCATACTAGTAGTAGCAGTGATTCAATACAACTGCCCTTACCAGACCTTATAGCTTCAAAGAGCAATGAATTAATATCAACAAACATATCATTAAACTTAAGTTCTCCTCTACAAAGCATTAACGAGTAAATCCCAATATGGTAAAATAAAATATTTCGAAATTTTTCATTATTTTTTTTTTTTAATTTTAGAATACTTTGTGGTTTAGACTGCGGCTTAGAGGGTCTTTGCGATAACACAGAGGGTATGCCCAGATGTTTATGTCCTTTTGGTAAAAATGGCAATGACTGCTTGGAAGGTAAGCAAAAAAAAAAAAAAAGTAAAATTCGTTTCATTTTTTAATATCCAACCTGCAACTGCAATATGTTTGCTGTTTTTAATGTTTTACGCTACATGTTGGATGTTGATGAGCTACATCCATACATCCTACGTAATCGATTTTATTGATATTTCTTTAAACATGACTGCTAAGTTCATTTACTCAGATTTTCAAGAGATTCAAAAGCTTAAAGTTAAATCCTTTACGTATCCATCATCAAAGGATGAGGTACATATTCATTGCTCAAAAGGTTTGCAATGCCCAGAAAGAAGCTTCAGAGACCCTCTAAAATATATATATATATATTCTTGATTAACATCAAATTCTGAATCGATTTAAGCATCCCCGTCTGCCCGTCTATTGCAAACACTATTCCTAGCGGAAAAAATGAACCTTTTCAACTTGAAATTTGCAAGTTTTTGCACGCATTACAGCAGATAAAGCTACAAAAATTTGAGTGTATATTCTATGCACGATGCTGTCATATATGTACGGAAATAAGAAGAAATTAACCACGCCTACCCGATATAGTAGTGTATAAAAATTTAATTTTATTGTCAATGTCTTTAAAACATGTAGACGCAAATTTCAAAAAACCCATAAAATATTATATATAAATTCTAGACCAGTTTCAAATTCGGAATGCACCTACGTATGCCCGTCTGTTCGTCTATCAATTCAAACGCATGCCGAACCACGTAATAACTGTGATGCACATTCTCTCGTTCGCATAAAAGAAGATATCGCGTACAAAACGCCTCTTGCTCGTTATTCACAAACTACAACATACACACAACATAAATTATTCGACGAAAATAGAAACAATCAACTACGCCCACCAAATATTATGGATTGTGTAAATCCATGCTTTTTCTTTCTTTCTATCTTTTACAACATACTGTTATAGGTGTAAATGATTCGGTGACAATCGATTATAATTTTCTAACTTGTTATTAAGGTTTCCGAAATTTCGTGTTGACAAAATTATTGTTCTTTCGACATAAGTTGGGAACCGAATATTATGCGAAAAAATTCGCTTCAGTATAAACTCTTTGTAATTTTATTTAGAAACGCACGAACTTAAACAAATACTGCAAGTTACACGCAGGATTGAGGGTTTGGTTTATCGAACAGTTGGTGTTTCCAGTAACTGAACGTCGCTGCAATCAATTTGGAATTAAAATGTTTCCTTATATATATGTACAAAAACTATGTTCACTGCTTGATTTCCTCCGCAAATACGTCGGAAAAGTGATAATTTCCATTGCAAAATTATGCCTAGCGGCAGAGTTCATTTTTAACCCAATAATAATAAAGAAGCATGCATCTTCAGCAAATTGAATCAAAAGTGAAGCGGCCGCGCGTTTCACAGCAGGCTTGGCAGACTAATTTAAAGAAAAGATTTAATCGAACGAGAAAGCCATCACGTGGAACATAAATCACAGCCATTTTTCTTACGTTTAGTGTAATGAGCTTATAATCTTATTATCCAATAATTGGGTAGACCGTTTGAGAATTACAAGTTCACTATTTTTTTTAAAACTCTCTCAAGTTTTTGCTTTGATTTGTTGCCATCGTTTAAAATTATTACAAATTTCTTGAAAATATTATTTAATTATTGTTGTTATTGCAGATGTTAAAGTACGTGTACCGAAATTTTCTACACATTCATGGCTAGCATTTCCGGCCTTAAGAGGAGCTTACAAACATGTGCAGGTTAGTTAGAACCCAAAAGAAATATTTTTTTTTTTCTCTAAATAATTCATAATCCACAGGGCTTGTATAAATGAATGAAGTAATGAATGAATAAATGAAAGATTAAATGAATGAATGCATAATTGAATGAATCAATGATTGAATGACTGATTGAATAAATGAATGTATGAATGCTTGCAGCGGTGGTACATTAGGTGCGTGTGCATGTCTTTAACATTTAGAAAGACTTAAGATAGACCAACAATATATAGTATATATAGTGTATTCAGCAATTCAAAATCATGTTTAAATCGATTAAACTTTGCTCCCTCCTACTGTTTCTCTCAAACACTTTTACGTCTTTCAACGATTTTTGTTTTGAAAACAGGTCGCCAATTTTCAAATTTGTAAATTAGTGGACTGACGTGTTTTGGTTAAGGAGAAAAGAAAAAATGTGTAGCCACGTAGGTAAGAATCTCGACTACCAAGTTTGTGTTCGTAGGTTTAAAGTCGATTCGGCAGAGTTTGCTGTGGTCGTGGTTGCAATTATTATATATAGTTATAGTGAGCACTCAGACGGTAAACACACAACACTTACTAATTGACAATACACTCCCTAATCTGCGGCCGTTTCGCTCCCTCTTTCTAACTTCTTTGCGGCCTTTGCGGTATTACACGAATAGGGGATCGCCACTGAATGATTTGGCCACATAAGAAAAATAAAAAAATTCATTACACGAAAAATGTTTGCAGTATTTAAAGTTTCTTCACAAAATCGTAACTAAAGTTATGAAAAAAATTTGCATCGAATGGGTCGATTTTTTGACGCTTCCCTCATAAAATTTTTCTGTACGAAAAGCAAAACGCAAAAGATTTTTTAATATTTTATTGCGAAGAATGTGCCCAAATTACAATCTGACATAAAAATTGACTGCATCGAATTTGGATTATGTCGATCTATTTAATGAACCTCGTCTCATATAACTCTATTTACAAAAGCAAATCATTTTATGGCAACAAAGTTTAATGTTTTGAGTGCTTTGTGCTGGAAAATAATTAATTTTACAAAATTGGATCGGTTCAGTTTGAGTTTTGGGTCCCTTAACATTTAAGTGGTCCAATGAAATTTTGGGAAGTTATAATTTTTGATGATCAGTCTGCCTCGATCATAATATTTTCACTTGTTTGGTTTTTATAATTCAGTTACGGATAGAATTTCGACCTGAATCCTTTGATGGTATTATACTCTTGAGCGGTGAACGAGATGATTTAACAGGTGATTTTATGGCTTTACTCTTAAACAAAGGATTCATCGAGTTCTGGTAAGGACACCTATATATATATATACAAGAATCGATGATGGTGAGTTATTCTATATTTTTTTACTTCCCATGAAAGGTTCGATTGTGGCAGCGGTGTTGGTAATGTACGTTCACGTGAAACAATTCTACTAAATGAATGGAATTCGGTTATAATCTATCGCCATCGTTGGGATGCCTGGCTGGTATTAAATCATGGCACTAAAGTTCAAGGACGTTCAAATGTAAGTTAAACGCACAAAACAGGGCAGAAAACTATATTCGCCTTAGAGTAAATCGTTCATAAATTTGAGGGACTTAGGACTTCATGGTGGTGGGTTCGATGATAAGAAATGTTTTTGGAAAGCATAGATACGCATATGTTAGTTGTTAATTACTTTCATATTTTTTTTTTTTTTTGTTAATAAGTGATCTTAAAAGAGGAATGTATTCATTTCAATAATTGCATATGAGATGACAGAATTAGTATACCGCTGTTCTGTGGTAGTTGTACGTCAAAGTGAATGAATTAAAAGTGTTTTTTTTGTTTCCAAACAAGGGTTTGTTTTCACGCATCACTTTTCGTGAACCGGTATTTTTGGGTGGCACGGGCAACATAACCGGTTTAACTAAACGTTTACCTATTTCAAATGGCTTTGCTGGTTGCATACGCCGTTTTGTGGCTAATGCTCACGATTATAAATTTGAAGAGCATCCTTTAGGTGATGTCAGCAAAGGATTTGATATACGTAAGTAATATTGTGTTCAATTAGTTTGGAAATATTTTTAATAAACTTTCATTTACATGTTGTAGAGGATTGCGTTACTGACAAATGCTTTAAATATCCTTGTCAACATGGCGGTAAATGTTTACCTTCCGATCAAGGAGCGATGTGTCTGTGTCCTATAGGTTTTGTAGGTGATTTATGTGAAATTCGCATGGATTTACAGGTAAAAGCTGAGGATTTTTTTTTAATCCTCGATTTAAGTGCACAACTTTTGGTTTTTTTAGGTTCCTTCCTTTAATGGTTCCTCATTTTTGCGTTATGCTCCTTTAGGCGATAGTGCCTTAATATGGTTGGAATTAAAGGTTTGCAATATTTCTTTTTACATTCGTTACATTATTTAAAGGTCTTTAACACATTTCCAAAAATTTTAGGTAATTTTAAAGCCAGAGCAAGCGGATGGTTTGATTTTATATTCGGGCGCTAAACGTCATGGCGATTTTATCGCTTTAGCTTTGACTAATGGTTTTGTCGAGTTCATCTTTGATTTGGGCAGTGGCCCAGCGGTGGTCAGGTATAAATTTTAAATTGACAAAATTTTACACTCTACAATCATATTTGAGAAAAATCGTGTTCTCTTAATATTTGAAATTTCCATAAATTTTGGCTATGGTTGTTGTGGGCATCGTTAAGTGAAAGCTAAAGAGTTGGCTGGCATTTTCGAGAGCTACTTATCCGGCATAAACAATAAATTTCGCTTTTTATACTCTACATCATTTGTGGTACAAAGGTATACTAAGTTTGTGTGACTAATAGGTAACACCCAGAAGGGCTGAAGGTAGACCCACCTTTTATTATACCCATCTATACAGGATCATTTTCTGAGTCGACCTTAGATAGTCTGCCCATCTATCTGTCTTGTTTTCTTGTGCGCAACTTACAGGCCGAGAGTTATGAGATATTTTGATGAAGTTTGAATATTGACGTCTTTTGGTCCAAGAACCTATCGAACGCTATTGAAAATGATCCTTATCGGACCATTTTTCAACCTCTTCCCATACAACGTCTTTATCTAAAATGTGGACATATGAACAACTGTAGGGTATTTTTTGACGTGGAAAAAACATCAAAAGCTGCCCGCTTTGGGACTTTGTACTATCATGTCTTGTGGCAAGAACCCTTTGGTATACCTTCATAGGGGCTTAGGCACTATCTATGAGCCTACGGTAACGCTGCTCGTTTCTGTGTTCCTTCAATAGCTTTGCGGCAAATATTCCCACCGCTTTCCACTTCTTGAGTGGAATATATTCGTCACGAGGTCACAATGTTTTTACTTGCTTATATCCGAAAAGTGAAAGAGAGTTGAAAGAGTTTTGATGCGGGGAGAATCCTTCAAGCAAAATGTCCGAAAGTGTATGGACATCAGGCGTTCATTGTCAAGACTTGGACTCCCGGCTAATCGACCAATAGCTTTTTTTTTAGTCAATGTTTTTTAATTAACTTACGCCTAGACGCACTAATTATCTTAGGCACTCGGAAAATAATTGTTATGACGAGTACAGTTACGTTTTTAATTACATGCAATGCCTTTACACAATAGCGGACACTTTTCACACACGATTTTTTATATGATTGCATTCATTCTTTCCATTTATGAATTTTATATAAATATTTTTGTGTGTCCATCTTTATGAAAACCCAGGAGCGAATATGCTTTAGCCATAGGCCAATGGCATACAATACAAATATCTCGCACTGCCAGGTTAGCTGTATTAAAGGTAAGTGGTCTCCTGTCATCTTTTTTACTTCACTTCTCATGTGTTTGCTACTGACCTTTTATATTACAAAGATCGATCAACTACCTGAAATCATGACAGTATCTTCAAATGGTTTTTGGCATCTTTCTTTGCCGGAAAATCTCTTTGTTGGTGGTGTTAATCATGTCGACAAATTGCCTTTAGATTTAAAAAGCAAACCTTTTCTTGTGGGTTGTATACAACGTGTAAGTAATTAAAAAAAGCAGAAAAAAACAATAACAAGAAAGAAAAGAAGTAGAAGATTTCTATGCTGTTATTACAGCGACAGGCAATTTGTGGCCAAAATGAATGAATTTACTTTCTTTCATATTTGCTTTCTTTTCTATCTTTTTTTTTCTTTTGTTTTTTCTTTAGATTGAGATAAACGGCCACTCGTTGGCAATTATATCTGAAGCATTGGGCGGCACTAACATAGGCAATTGCCCTCATGCCTGTGTGGCTCGACCCTGTGGCCCCCTAGCAGAGTGTATACCGCAGATGGAAAGTTATGAATGTCGTTGTAACATCTACAACACGCAGTGCAATAGAGAGGCAGAATTATCCTTCAATAGGTTACGTAAGCAGAAAGTCTTGGCCAAGGAACCGCAAGCAACAAGCAAGTTAGTTGCGGCCAGAGAAGCCAAGCAACATGGGGATGACCTAACACAGAAAAGCGGCCTAAAAATAAAACAAAAACGTTGGCAGCAGCTGGTTGAGAATAATGAGAAAAAAAAGATTGTAAACAAACCTTACACGAGATGGTATTTGCAACAGCATAAAACCGCACAGAGAACAATGCCAATCGCCAAAGCAACGGCAACAACAACAAAAACTACTACTACTACTACTACTGCTAAAACAAAGGCCACTATACCGACAACGCAGACAACAGCACTTACAGACGACACTATTGAATCAATAAATTGGCAAGCATTGCAAAGCTTAGATTTAATAACATTTAGCGATTCCCAAGACCAAGATAAGGAGGAGAAAGGACGCGAAGACAGTAAAGGCATGAGTGAAGAAGATGAAGATTCTGATGAAATTGAAGATGATATCATATTTGAGAACGTTAAGGCAATACGTGAACGTTTACAGAGGGAACGAGAAAAAAAGCAGCAAGAACAACAACAACAACAACAGTATAATTACGATGACAAAAATGCACAACGAATTGGAGAGAACAAACACAAGCGCCGAGCAACGAATCATCATCAAAGCAAAAGCTTACACAAACAACACTACCATCGTTTTCACCCCAATCACAAAACAACTTTGGAGGATAAAACTCAGCATAAGCTAAGTCGTTTGCCAACCCATTATGAAAGTTTTCAAGCTAATACCGGTAGTGACATATTGACTTTTGATGATCCTATAATGGTGGAAGACCAGCTTAGAGAATTAGCTCCAACGAAAACAGACGAGGCAGAGCCTGACGAAATTGATGATGAGATTAATGATGACAAATATCAGCAAAAGACATTTGTTATGGATGCTTCACTGTTTGATGCTAGCGATGGCACCGAAGAATATCAACGCAAACAATTTGCTCAGGACATGAAACGAATTATGGCAAACACAAAAGGGCCCTATGTACCGAAAATGCCCCAGTTAGTAATCAGCGAATATGATTATAGCGAGGAATTAGATCTGACCAAACAAAACGATAGCGATAGTAATGATAACGACAACAAAGAAGAAAGCAATGCCAATGATGGAATAGTTGTCGATAATCTGAAACTTATAGACGTCGACTATACGGCCATAACACCGAAATTGTTAGATGAGAACAGAAAACCAACAACCAGTATAACGACAAGTACACAAACTCAAACTGACTGGAGCTTACTTAGCAAATTCGATTTGGACTCCGATCAACCACATCATACTATTGGAGTCCGCAAAAATTTTGGTGCTTGTTTTGCCGGACACGACAGCTATTTCCATTACAACGATGCCGAAACGATGAGCCAAATCATTAGCTATACAATTGATTTGAATTTGCGCATCAAAACTCGATCAGACAATGGAGTGATCTTATGGACCGGTAAAGTGGGATCAACAGATCGCGATAAGGATGATTATCTATCTTTGGGCATTGAAAATGGGTAAATAAACCTTTTTATGTACATTCTTTCCATTAAGTTTATAAAAATTTGCATTCAACTCGATTCTAGTTACTTACACTTTCGCTATAATTTGGGTTCGGGCGAGATTGATATACGATTTAATGCTACCAAAGTAAGCGATGGCTTATGGCATCGTGTTCGTGCTATAAGGTAACAAGAAATATTCGCTTTACCATTTTTTTGTCTTTTTAAAATTTATTTGCAAACATGTAGAGATTCTCAAGAAGGCTATTTAGAAGTAGACGGTCGCAAAAGCAACTCGCTGAGATCTCCGGGCAAATTACGGCAATTAAATACCGATACAGGTTTATACGTGGGTAAGTTATTCGCAATTAGAGGATGGTGTGGAATTTTTGATTGTTTTTATGACTTTTTTATTATTTATACAATGATTGGCCAGCCAATCTATTGTAAACCCCTTTTTGGAAAACATGAAAGTGTTTCAATAGTAATACGAACCTTAAAAGTACACTCTCTGTGCGATAAAAACAAAAAAAAATAAAAAATTGACTTATTTGACAATATATTTTATTATATATTGATCCGGAGCTGCTTTACATCTCTTCCTCTCTACCACTTCAAAAGACACATATATCTTGATCGACATATAACTTTTTTTCAACTTAATCATACAGGTGGAATGCCAGACGTTCAATATTTTACCAGGCAACGCTACGCCAGCGGCATTGTGGGTTGCATATCAGAAATCGTCTTAGCCGGTGAATTAAAAATGAGTTTCGATCCAAATACACTGGGCACAGCGCACAATGTAGAAACAGGTTTACTCTGAAATGATCTGCCAGCAATACTTAAATCCTGATATTAGAATAGAGACTAGAATCTAGAAAACAACGTATTCATTGTTTAATGAAACAACAAAAACAACAACAACTACAATAACAATAATAATTTCCGGAATTAGGAGCAAAAAACGTGGTAAACAAAAAAATTAAAGCAAAGATGAAATATTTTTCAGTAACTACTGTGTTTGTATAAAGACGCTTTTATGAAAATGAAAAAAAAAAAAAACAAAATTTAGAGAACACAAATTTTATATAATAAGAAGAAAAACTTTAAAAATAATTGTAAGGAAAGTAAGAAAAACTTTATAGAATAGAAAAATAAATCCAATTAAACAAAGAGAAAAAAATGCACTTTTACACATAAAACACAAACTGAGAGAAAAAAAAAATGCAATACACGAAATACAAGTGAATGTAAGTAAACAATATTTGTACTTAAAGCAAACACACATACACACACAATCACGTATAGACCTTTACACACAAGCTCTCTCAGGCACAGATATACTCAAAGACATATTGCTTCACTTAAACAAAACGAAAAAGCCTGTGACTGTCAATATAAACAAATAGTTATATACATATATAGAAGAAGAAAAAAAATCAAATTTTCTTTCTTTTTTTTCTTTTAAGTAAAATTTTAGTAAAAACTATTTTAGTCTTCTCTTGGTTCGATTTTACTTTTTCTAGATAATTAAAACAAAAAAAAAAAGCAAATATATATGATGCTAATGATAGGAACTCTTTTGAGGCACTTATTTTGCATAAGTATATAATAAATTTTCTACACTGAAAAATAAAAAACCAAAAAAAGTCTAAACTATTGAACAGTTATGTCCATTTAAATGAAGCTGAAAAGAAAAAGACTCATTGTGTATATATACATATATATATATATAGAGAGAGATATGTGCGTATGTGTATGTATATGCAAAGATGAATATATATGTATATACATGCAAAGAGTTATATAAGTGTGTATGTTGTAGTGTTTTAGTAATAAAATATAAGTTTAAACAATAATAATAATAATAATGAAAAAAAAAAAACAAAAAAAGTTAGAAAGCAAATTCTATATGTCTGTGTAAAGGAAACTATTTTAAATTATTAATAAAGAAAAAAGTAAAACAGTTTTTATAGAAAAGAATTTAAATATATTAAAAAAAAAAACTATATTTAACTAAAAAGACCATTAGAAAAAAAAGCCTAATATAACAGAATTTGCCTAAGCGAGGCCGATGACTAATCACTTTTGTATTTAGATAAATTTTTTTTTAACAGCAAACAAACGGTTCTTTTATTATTATTATTATTATTATTACTATTATTATTACTTACACACAACGCTGAATAAAAATCCACTATTAAATCAATGCTCGATAATGTCGCTAATTCAAATTAAAAAAAAAAAAAAAATTTATAAAAAAACATTTAGCCTAAATTTGATAAAAATAACTAAAGAAGGTTAGAAATTTAAAAATAAAAAGAAAATTTAAAAAAAAATAGCTCTAATATACACAAACGACAAACAACAAAAATTAACATAAATAAATATATATTTATCTTATGAACACAATATGCTAAGCAACATGTAATTAATTAACGGCAAAATTAACAGTAACAACAGCAGAAACAACAGAAACAACAACAAAAACGAAGTATACATAGTACTTAAATATATACATACACACGTATATACAAAGATTACTGGAAATTTTCATAAGGAATTATATAACAAAAGACAAAAAAAAAAAAATAATAAGAATGATTATAAAATATATAAACAGAGAAATCACTTGCAAACACAACCACCAAATAATATCAAGCAGAAAAAAACAAAAAAAAAAAACAAAAACAAAAAAGAAAATATAACAAAACAACAACAAACATTGTGTGTAGCTTATTATAAACAACAACAAAAAACCAACAAATAATTTCGAATGTAACATTTGAGAATGAGTGTATAATTTCTTATACTGCAATAATTTGCTAAATAAAAACAATGAAAAAAATAAATCAAAACTATTTAGTATTTTTTAACTTCACCCTATACGTGAAGGACAGTTCAACTGTATTAAAAATTTTCATTACTTCCTTATAGGAGCAACGCGGTTATAACAAACAAAGACATTGAAAAAAATGTCGCGATCATTTTGAATCGAATAAGAACGCTACGCATTTTCATTTTAAGTCTACGTGTGCTGTCGTCCATACTTTGGTAATAAGAACTAATTAAAGATAGACTTAATATTAGTTTAGATAAAGATCGCGTAAACTGAACAATTTTCAATTCGAGCGAACATGTGCAATTGATAAAAAGCTTCATACACTTTACCAAAGTTAATCTAGTCCTATAACATATATCGTGACGTATGAGTAACATTTCACATATATGTGCACAGCGCAAGAGTTAAGTAAAATAGTCTTGACTTTTCATTACACTAAAAGGCTGGGGAGCATTCAAAATAGTTGCTTACGCTTACATAGCTTCTTATGCTTATATTTTTTTTATGACGTATGATTAACACAAAAAACTAAATTTTGCGGGTGTTCCGAAGTTTAAGATGAGGATATAAATTTTTGCTCACATCCTTTCGGCTGTCTTAAAGTACTTATCGAAGACCACAATATCACACACAATATATGTTCTCAATCAACTTAAATAATGGAATTGACTTAGCCACGTGTCTCTCTCGTTTCACTCCAAAACCTTATTAAAAATTCCTTAAAATTATATTCGACTACGGCGAATCTCTTACATCTATCCTTATAAGGATGAGAAACATACCCATTTCTTTTTTTTTTTGCTTTTAAAAGCAGAGCAATTCCCACTTTACGTGACATTGACGTCGGACAGATGGACAAGCACACAAGTGAACAGCACACACATTAAAAACGAAAAGATATTCATTATATCTAGATAATTATGGGTATTAATAACAGCATCAGCATTAATAAACTATTTATTAATAAAGAAGATGTCAATAACCACAGCCACATCTAAAAACAATCAGTGGATAAGATACACAAGAAGAAGAAGAAGATGCTGCCTAGATTAGGTGACCGCTTAAAAAAAACCATTACCGAATATCCACAATACCCAAGTTAGCAATTTCTCTGATAGGAATAAGGTATAAATTAAGATGCACAAATAGATTAAAAGTCTTCTAGCAATGAACTTCAACTAGAGAACAACAAACGTTGCCAATATAAAAAATAAAAAATTTTTTTTAAAAAAACTTTAAAAGGAGTATTTAATTTATATGCCTAGACGGACTCAGAATTTGATTACGATCAATGATATATATTTTTATAGAGTAATCTGATATTCAGGGCGTTGCAAACGTTTTGATAGAAGTGGAATTTCTCTGTGCTATAATATTCAGCAAGCGCGAACGATTCATAAAATATACGAGCAAATTTTTAATGTTATATTTTTCGTAGTTTGTAAGTAAAGCTCCAAAATTCCAAAACCTTTTATAGTACGTTGTATTTCGACAGACCGTACCGAAGTTCTGCAAAATACGCAAGAGAGGTTACAGCGGCCAACCTTAGACCAGTAGGGCTATTCGTCCTTTCCTGTTTTATTGTTCCTAACCGTTCGAAAAGTAATCAGATAGAATCCGTTGTTCGGGGATAACGACTAAGCTGAGCAAGCTATCCCCTATCCGCAAAGCCAAAAACAACAGAGTGATTCCTAATCGTTGTCCCGCTACGCAGTTGCTCTGCCTGCCCTGTTACCGGCTGGCACACGTTATAAGATATATATATTAATACTATCCTATGTATGTTTACTATGTTATCGCTTCCTTACAACTTTTATTAAATATTGCTGATTATTTGTTTACTTAATTACGGAAGATATTTAAGGCAAATTAAGCTAGAAAAGTAAGCAATTCGTTAATTTTTCAAACAATTGTGATGCAAATGTTATCACAAGTTGTAGCTTTCAATATCGTAAATAATGCCCTTAAGTCCGAAAATTGAAAATCGCTAAGTATAAAAAAGGAAAAAATAAGTTTACACCATTGATTTAAAGAGAAATGTCAAAAAAAAACCAGTCAAAAGATTTTGCAGAAAATAATATATTTTTTTGCATATTGTTTATTCATTAAAGTCCAGGAAGAACAAATTAACAAATCATATAAAGTTAATAAAAGCAAGTAAGGGAATTTACTTCATAAAATTTAAATATACGTCTCGGCTTTAATAAGAGAGATCAATTGCAACTCGTTGAGCAATCAATGAAAGATTATTTATATGTGTTCGTGTGTGTGTTTCTGTCTTAGAAAAAAAAAAACAATTGTTTTGCAATACTTTGCATTTTCCAAAAATTTGTACAATTTGTTTCCCTTACATTTCTTTTAGAATTGCAAATCATGTAACCTTAAGAATTAATATCTATATCAAGCAAAAAAAAATTGGCAATACGAATACATCAGTATCATAATCAATTGAAGATACAACAGAGCAGACAGAGAAAACCGGAATTAACCTGAAAAAAGGTCAACGAAAACAGCTGAGTGGATAGATGGCCTGATCTTAACTCTTCGCTTCGCTAAAACGCAAATGTTGGGAATTGAATTTATGCGATATAAAATAGAAAAATAAAACGAGAATATAAAGCTGGAAAAAGTGAGAAAAGAAAGACGGAAGACTTTGTTGCGGTTAATTAATGATTGTTATTATTAATTTGTTTATTGCGGCCGTTCTCTTTCACTTGGTCTTATTTTTAATACGGTCTCTTATAAATCGCCTATACGCCAGAATTATGGCCGATGTTCTTAATCAAAATTCAAATGTCGTGGAAGGGAATAATCAGCCAGCGGCTAATCCATCGCAGCCAGCACGACTTCAGCAACCACAGGCAGCACCGGCTGAAGCACAATTGGAAGCAGCGCAACGTTTGCCACAGCGTAATATATTTAATATAAATATCAATCAACGTAATCGCGGGGGGCAGGTAAGTGAAATCTCAGCCTTTTTTAGTTACACATTGATAATACGTTTTCTTCTTTTTTCTGTGCGCAGAATAATCTAATGAACGTCCGTGATCGTTTATTTCATGCCATCTACTTTAAAGTGGCTCTTTTGTATGCCCAAATATTTTCCAAGTCAGTTTGATATTCACAGCCCACTTTTCTTGTTTTTTTCTTAGGTAAAGGATCATGTGTTTTTCTTTTTCTATTCTAGACCAATGCAACGTACTTTGGAATATTTTATTTTATTAAAAGCGTTGTTGTTTTTCTTTGCCTTGGTTTATATACATATATCTTTTATTAAGAATCCCTCTTCTTGCCTAAATAATGTACAAGATTGGCCAAGAGACGGTGTGCTAAGGTAACTCTTGCTTCAATAACATCACTTAATACTTTATTATTAAAAAAAAAATTTTTTTCCTTTTTTTTTATTTGTAGAGTTGAGGTCATACCGAACTTGGATGAACGTTTAGAAATTTATGAGAAATCTCAGAACTATGAAAACTCTATGCGTCAACTGCAATACAATTAGTACGTATTCACCTATATCACCTATTTCTTTGTTTACCGATTTTTAATAAAATAAATTGCTCAGTTTTTATGGTATAGGTCCTAAGAGTAAAAGTCAACTTGATAACCATCAGTTTACAACAAACGAAACCTTGACTAAATATCTACACCAACTAGATCAATATGAAACTTTTAAAACTGAATTGAAACGAAAAATTGATGATAACAACCTATATAAAATAGATAATGGTAAAGCGTACACATAATAGTGATTATTGATCATTTAATGCGATTTCCATTCCTATTGCAGATGATCAATATATTGTCGAATATTCTCTAGAATATGGACATTTACGTTTATCGGCTGCTACTCGGGAGCGTCTACATATACCGGTACGGGTTGTGCAATTAGATCCTGAAACTAATAAATGCTTTGGTGACAAATTTAGTAAATTTTTACTTAGAGAATTTCTTGGGTATACACAAAAAAAAAAAACCTTTCTCTAATATAAATTATTTAATAATTATTTTTATTTGGCAGATACGACGATTTGTTAATGGCCTCAGTGCGGGTTGTAGCTGAAAAAGAAGATAACAAAGGTTACTTGCGTAACGTTATAACAGGCGAACATTATCGTTTCGTTTCCACTTGGTGGACAGCATGGAGCTCATATCCTACAGCATTTTTCGTTATGCTGCTATTTGTGAGTTGTGCTTCATTTTTAAGTTAAAACAAGTCATGCCATGCGAAAATACCAGGGTATCGATAATGCAGACATGATCTTGATCAACGTGAAAACTTGAAAGTGTGGCTAACATGAACGTGATCAAGATTTCTGCTAATTTAATAAAGCAGATATAAATTCAATCAATTGGTTAATGGCAACATAGTTACTATATTATACGACTAAATTAGGTCCTAATTAAATAAGATTTTGCCATTTTACTAGATAATTCCTTAAATTTCTTTTAATTCATTTTCAGACATTTTCTATATCGATGCTTTTAAGGTTCTCACATCATCAAATATTTGTTTTAATAGGTAATTTTTTTATTAGACCTAGCGATGGCTGCAATATTTATAATTGTAATATTTATATAATTTTAGTGGATCTTTTACAAATGTTGGAATTTAATGTGGCTTCCCGCTTTCCTATAGCTCCTTTACTTATTGTGGTATTGGCTTTAGTAGGTATGTAATGAAGAAATGCACTTATATAAGAGACGTTCAATATTAACTTATTTTTTAAATTTAAAGGGATGGAAGCCATAATGTCTGAATTTTTTAACGACACGACAACTGCGTTCTATATAATCATTATTGTCTGGGTGGCTGATCAATTTGATGCTATTTGTTGCCATACAAGCGTTACTAAACGACATTGGTTGCGGTGAGTTTTTTTAAAGCTTTGTGTATCTTCTTGTGTACCTTTCTATAAAAGTAGGCTTGCTAATTTTAAGATGGCTTAATAAGCCTATTCTAACGTATATGGATTTTACTATTATACAAAGTCCTGTTTATACCAAAACTTATATCAAATCATTCAGAAGCATTGCAACGTAACATTGAAATTCCTTACGTGGAAAAATAGAAATAAAACTTGGACTTCAGTATGTTTTCTCTGAAGCTCTGTACTTTGCCTCCAGTGGCTTTCAAATTTATTTACCATATCATTGAAATGAATTTCGGATTGCCATTCAAACTACCAACTGCTTACTACAACTGTTTTATTTATTTAATAAAAAAAAACATTTGTCGCTTGGAAGTTTTTGGAATGAAGTGATTATAACTGTACGAAGCCCAATATGTGGCTACAAATAGAACAAGGAATTTTGTATACCCACTTGGACTTCACTATGTTTTCTCTGAAGCTCTGTACTTTCCCTCCAGTGGCTTTCAAATTTATTTACCATATCATTGAAATGAATTTCGGATTGCCTTTCAAACTACCAACTGCTTACTACAACTGTTTTATTTATTTAATAAAAAAAAACATTTGTCGCTTGGAAGTTTTTGGAATGAAGTGATTATAACTGTATGAAGCCCAATATGTGGCTACAAATAGAACAAGGAATTTTGTATTCCCACCGCTGAAGGATGGGGTGTACTCACTTTGTTTTTTTTGTTATAATGTATGTAACGCGTAAAATTTTGTAGACACATTAGACACATTAGAATTTAAAGTTGATATTGAAAATGAACCAAATTGGTCAAAGGAGAAGTCCGCAGTGGAGCACGAACGCAACTCCGTTTTTCTTAACAAAAATTTGTGGGTTTTTGTTCGTTACTCAGAAATTATAAAAGTCTCAAGCTGAAATTTCCCACATTTACTTTACGAAACACTCTACTCCCTACGTGCAAAAAAACGAAAAATCGGCCTTGTCTGCACAAAGCTGCAAGTGATTAAATTTTATTTTTTTCATTTTTTTGAGGTTTTAGGTTTATATATCATAACGCAAACAAAATAGACTGTTTAAAATTACTTATTACATTCCTTAAATGAAGATATATTATCCGTCTAAAAATGGGTTAATTGTGGAATGGATATGGTAGACACCGCGATTAATTTTTTCTTAATAATATCAGCGATATGGAGATCAAATATATGAACTTGGAGAGTAGAATGCGAAAAGCATAGTGGTGGGTGTGCGAGATTCAACCCCTACCGAATATAACTTTCTTACTCTTTTAATATTCCAGGTCTCTTGTCGATTAAATAACCGTAATCATAGAACTGTTCTTCCTTTTTAATGCTTTATTTAATAAACATTCAATCATTTCATAATTTTCCAAGTTGCATATGGCAGATTTGATTTGGAATCAGGAAGTACTCGAAGGAAAAAAGAAGAAAATCTTCTAAACGTAGCTTACAGTCTGTATATGCCAGGGTTTTTAATTCGTTCACTTCTCATCATGATTTTTACTTTAAAACCCGTGCATTTCTTGTACATGGTCTAAGCAATTATTTTCTCCGAAATAATTTATCATATAACTCTAATTTTCGTGTTTCATAGATGTGGTAATTTGCTAACTCCTTTAATACAAAGTCCCTCTTCCAAAATTTGTTGCGATCTGTTTTAGAAGATTCATGTTTCCGAATTCAAACTGTTTTGTTTTTAAGTATGATTCAAAAGAGTGCTGAGTGTGTGGAATTCGATGTTGACGAATTTTTCCTTCCTTGGATTGTAAAAAGTATTGTTGTATATATTGCATATGTAATCAAGCGACTGGGCTCAGTAGAGCGTATTAGATCTTCTTTGGAATTTTTTAATTGATGAGTCAATATATGTTCCAAGTTCGTTTCTCTATTTGAAATTTCATCCAATGTGCTTATGTTTCCACATTTGATTCAATTTGCTTACAAGAGATATGAACAGGTTGACTGAAGGGATCGGTTGAATCTTTGCTTTAAAGCTCATCTGATCTGTTTCTTACTCTTTTTATCTTTCTGGAAAGAAAATGTTCAGACTATAGTTTCCCGTTTAGAACGAGTATAACATTTGGTAAAAATGATTATGCCGATGCAGGAAAATATTTCCATAGGGCGATTATTGGCTGAAATTGAATCTTTCAAGGAAAATTTGCATTAAAATTCTGCTTTGGTTCAATCCATTCTTACGCCGTTTTAAGGCAGATAGCTATGCCTGCAATTTCTATCCAATCGAAGATCGACCTATAACATTTATTAAATTATCTAAGCTTTGCTTCTGGTAATATTCTCTTAAAAGTTACATTTCCACAGAACTAAAACTAATAGTTTATGCTTAGCATTTTGTTATTACAAGTACAAAGTTCAGTAAAAATTACCTGTAATCTGTGCGTCCACTAATTGGTGGTATAGTTACCATGTTTATTATTATTTTTGTAATTTTATAACTTTTACACATTTTTGTGTGTAAAAATTGTTTAATAATTTCTAATGATTGTCTAACACAACAAAAGAACGAAAACTCGTAATGAACTTTCTTACAATACGTTGTGGCTTAGTGTTATTAAAGTTGTTCCCCTTGTTTTGTTTTTTCAATTTTATATTCGTATTATGTGCCTGCAGGATGTCTATACTATATATTCAGCCTGCTCATATTGGAAAAACGAAAAACGCTTTCATAAACACTCGCATCTGAAAATAAAAATAGGCAATCATACCAGATATAAAATCAAAAGGATAACTTTAGAATAAAGAGAAAAGTAGTGTACCTTTTTGTTTTCTCTATTTAGTCTTGTTTCACATTTCACATCGCAACCTCAAGCTATTTCAAAGCCTTAAATGATTATAAAAAGGAACAGGTAGAGGAAAAGAATACTAAACCTACATAAACTAAATTAAAATGTGGAAAAATTATATTGAAAATTGCAGGAGGAAAGAAAAAGGAAGAAGAAAAACGCAAAGGAATACCTGCATACATGCATGTATACATATGTATGGATTTACTCAATATCGGTTAGGCAACTCCGTAACTGAGACTGGAGAGGCACTTGTTATTAATTATAAATAAGTAAGTGTAAATGAAATACTTTGCCCGAATGTGTCTATTTGTATAGATAGGTGTGCTCATCCAAGCACTTGTAGATATAAGCATATGCGATAGGAAGTGGGTATGCTTGTCAATGTGACTTGTTTTGAAGGGTTATTTTCTCCTTTATTTTTGTCGTACGTAAAGGGATTGGTATAATAATGCACTAAAATATTTATCTACATTTGTTTGCACATTTGAAAACGTTTAATAGACAGGCACATGTACCTATAAATTACATTAGATTTGTCCATTTCAAAGGGTCTCGTGCGATTTTTAACTAGGTAATGATATTTACTGAATGTTAGAATATAGATGAATAAAAGCCTTGAGGCTGGTAAGGAGGAAAATTTGGTTTTGGTTGTCTTCCCCCTCTGCCTCTCAATAGCTTGAGGAGAAAGAGTAGATTTAGAAATGATTTTTATTCCGATTTTAGTCATTCTAGCAATGATTCGTGTGGTTTTTAAGTTATTGATGAAAACGCCTTGAAATCTTCTGCTGTTCCACCACCACCACATTTGGTACAGGGTATATTAAGTTTGCGCGAACGTATGTAACAACCAGATGGTCCTGAAACATACTCCTCTTTTATTATACCGATCGATTCAGAAACTGATTCTGCTTCTCTAAGCTAAGCTTGTCTGTCCATCTCTACATCTCGTTTTCCTGTATTCAACCTACACCCGGTTTTCAGATATTTTGATCAAATTTGGTATGCTCACGTACTTATGACCAAAGACGACCATCATTGACAATGGTTTGGATCGGATCACTTCTTTGATGATTCTCCATATAGCGCTTTGTTTCGATAAGTCATTATATGAAAAAGATTGTAATTTTCAAAAATTCACGACAAAATTTGCTGGGAAGACTTTGGATAGAATGGGGCAATTCTTGGAGCCTTTTGCCATGCAACCATTCATACGGAAATTGAATCTGAATTTGAAAAAAGCCGAATTTTCATTACTTAATAAAAATGCGGTCATAATAATACATAATGTACTTCATTTCATTCATTTATAGCTTGGAACATGTGCAAAATTTTAGACGGATGTCTGCGCGTCCGCTAGCTCGTCCGTCGTCTGTTGTTAAAACGCTTAATACATATTTTCACATTGGATAAAAGCGAGCAGAACATATTGTTCTAAAACTTTATATAAATATGTAGAAAGCAAGTACAAGCATGTAACAAGCAAAAATAAGTAAAATAGGGTTAATTGCTTACGCCCACAGCGAAATGCTTTGCAGTACCCTCCATAAATTTGACATTGTAAGTTAGGATGACACCCTATAAGTTCCTGCCGGCAACTATGGTTATATGCTAGATATTTCCTTCCGGTTACTGGAAATCTGCATCTAAGGGTCTATAAAACAGATTCTGCACCAATTCAGTCTTGTTAGTTCCTTCGTACTTCATTGTATGTTACTTTAAACACGAGAGTTGCGAAAAATGACGAACAAAATTGAAACGTGGCACTATTAGCCAATGGCAGAAAGTGTATTTTGGAATGTGGACAGTGTAAAATTTCGTACAATTATTTACCGGAACTGAGAGAATTTCAAAGTTCATTAAGAGAATTGACGCGATTCGTTTGCAAAAACATCCGCACTTATGAAAAAAACTTTAAATTTATGATGACTATACACATTCATTTATCTAGCGTTCCCGGCACGGCTGCTGACAAAGCTTCCGTATTTTTTTTTGTTAAGGCCAGGTTCTCACTCGTGATTTAAACTTCAGTGAAATAAGGGTTATTTAAAAGTGGTTTTTACTTAAAAGCGGTTTAAGTGCACAACTAGTTTTCTTCTTAATTGATGAATGATTCTGTCGAGCATATGAAAGTGAAAATCAATTCGTAAACGTTGTAAACCGAAA